GTGAGGACAACTTCTAGTCACGGAGATGGATAAAACTAAAAGGAGACAATTCTATGTTTGAAATTATGAAACTCACAAGTTCTCCTATAGAAGCAGCATCTAAGGCTGTCTGGGTGGAATGTCACTTGGATTAAAGGATAAGAGCCAGAAATTTCAGGAAAAGAAGGAATTAGTGCAGAGAAACAAGGATGTTGTGGAATAAAGGCACACATTAAGAAAATCAAGAGAATAGGTAATAACAGGTTCCCTGGGAATAAATTCTGTGATGAAAAGGAGTACAGAAGAGCTACATGTTATTAAGAAGCATATACACAACTGTGAGTACAACTTTACAAACTCAGTTTCTTAATTCATCACAAATTTAAGAATGAATAAAAAAATATTATTTATAACTGAAACTAAATTCCATAGAAGTATACTATTCTAATGTGGTCAATAAGGAGCAATATAATTACAAAAAAGCTTCCTGAACTGACAATCGCAGGCAAATAAGGGGTGCCAACAAAGGCACCGTGGTCATGACACGTCATTAAAGGTGATACAAAGAAACAGCAAAAGCATTTTGAAACAAAATCAGAAAGACACATGCATGAGATAAAACTAGGAAGAAACAGTAATAAAAAAGGTTACACAAATAAACCACAGGTAAGACAACAGGACTTTTAAAAGATTAAAGGAGCTCTTTTCTCAGTAAAAATAGAAAAAGAACCACTAAAGTTATCTTTAGCTACATCAGATATAAAGCCTGCTAACTGCTAGCAAAAACCTGGAAGATCTTGCAAAGAACAGGAAAGCAGCAAAACGATTGTGCAGAAGAACAAACCTGCCTGTTCTATGTAATAAAAAGGTTATAAGCATATCTAAATGACAAGATTCACAGTGATCAAATGACTAACTAAACAATACATATAAAATCTTTGAGGATAAGATGATAAAAATAGCATAGATTTCTTATGGGTAAATCATGTCCAATACCAAATTTGTTAGAATAACTGGACTGATTGCTCAGAGGAAAGCATATGCTACAGCTTAATACTAGTACAACTCCTGACACTACAGCAATGATAGACTACTTTCAAGAAAAGAGCAATGTGGTCTAGTTTACATCAGCACAGGAGCTTGGTTCGGAAACCGCGGTCAGGGTTCTGCAGGAATCCCTACCAGGTCTGGTTCTAGCCGTGTCTCATTTTTTTTCATTTCAACAGCTCTAATGTTTAATTGCCAAGTTGTTACCAGTTTTATTCAGTACTCAGCACTTTAATAAAAATAAAACACCCACAATTAAGTGGAAGTAATGAAGACGATACCATCATTTTTAATAATTATAAAACAAAATACATTTTAGGATCTTTTTTCCTCCCTTTCTTGCTTTTGCATTCATCTCCCTTTGCACAGTACCCTACCATAATCTGCATATACTAATGTTCCTTTACGTTGCCTTCCAAAGGACATAAAAATTATTGTCATACAACTAAGTATTTAGCTTCTGATTTCTCTATATTTTGTTTGCTCCTCTTTCAGTAGTAATACTATTCTGTTTGCTTTCAGGTTAACATACATGAATCTAAGGTGAACATCTCCTAAGAACTAAGTAGAAACTGAGGCTTCAGGTCATGATCTATTATTTACTTTCACCAGCCCCACACTGTGCATTCTGTAACTAAATAAAAGTTAGTTTCTCTGTACATATTTAATAAACATTTATTCTTTTAAAAGTAAACTCAACTAGCACTTGTTGACTGCATGTCTGCAATGTTGAATTCAATGTAAACCTTGTATCAGAATGATAGGGTGGGTTTTTTTTTTTCATTTTTGTAGAATGAACATGCAAAAAAGGGTGATCCAAGTTCACCTGAGCAATATACGAAGACAATGACATTACAAAAACAAGTGGTATTTTTAAAACCAGCTGTTCAGAAGAGACACCAATTATTCTCAAATTACTGCATTTTCTGAAAATAATGAAAGCAAGAAAGGCAAGTTACATCCTTAAAAGGTAAACTGCATACATTTTTTAAAAAAGCACCAGACAGTAATTAAGCTAAATACCTAACCAATCACTTAATATTTCTGTCTTTCCAGAGGTCTAGACTACACAACGTATTTTGTAACCCTTAAATAGAATGTAGCAGTCTGATGCTATGTAGTCAGCTTTCTCCCTTTCTTGCAGAAGGCGAAAGTTTGAGATCTGCTGAGGAAAGGAAACCTTCCCTGGTGAAGCAGTAATTTATTTAACATGCAGATACAGACAGGTAACAAAGGCAGTCTCTATAGCCTGCATGAGCGCCTGCTTACAATTCTGATGAAGAAACATGAGGAACAACATTTCGCCCTCTTTTTCTTCAGCACAAACTAAGAGAAGAACTTTCCAGGATGGACAACTGTCCCCTTAGAAGGTTTCCATGTAATTGTGTAGTGTATAATCGTGTTTATAACGTAGAGTACAATGCTTCCCTGCAACTGCTGCAGTGCCAGCCTTGTTACTGTCCTCAGCAGAGCGAAGGATGAAGGGAAAAATACTTAAACAAGAGAAAAGGAGGAAAAATACATTTATTTCTCTGAAACATGCCTAAAAAATTCATCTCAGTGAATACAAGGCCAGTAAGTTACTAGTAAATGAACTTCTCTTTGCTGATATTTTTTTGCTATTTTATCTTTCAGTAAAAAAAAAAAAAAAAAAAAATTCCAACTAAATGCAGTTGAAAATCATAGAGCTCTTAATATTTTAAAGCATTTTGGAACAATTACTTTGAAGGGATCCCCTGGCAGTTAAATGAATGTTATAGAAGATACATAATTATTTTTACTGAAGCATTAAATTTAACAAAAAATGAGGAAAGCCATGTGTAAGCAACCTGGCGGTATTTGATTAATAATGTCTTTCTTGAGAGTTCAATGGCTACTATATGCTCCAACAATGATGTTACTATATCATCTGAGAGTCCTCATCTTTTTTTCCCTTCACTTTCACATTTGGTTTCCACTTTCATTATTTTTCAGCATGTGACTGTAAAAACTGCATTCCTTAAGTATTTCTGCTTGTTTACTGATGAGGAACTGAATTTCGAAAAATACCCAACCAACCTGAAACAAAGAAACAAACAATCATCAAAAAATCTAGTGTTCCTGGGGAGCCTGATATTGGAATTTTGAATGACACAAAACTCCTGTTAAGTTCATGTTAAGCTTTTGTGAGTGACATGAGTGGGACTGGGACTACACAGGACAGATGTATTTATCCTAGAACTTCATCCACTTAGCTCTGAGATCTTTACGTGATTTCTCATGATCATATTAAAAAACATTTTTAAGTAACATCACAATTTGCTTTTTAAAATTATTACTATTATTACAATTGTTTTTATTCTGCTTCAGCACAAGATCAAGGCACTGTCCTCATGCTGAACTACCACTCATGAGAGGATTTTATTTGCTGAAAGAAAAAGAACTGAATGGAAAACTATCCAGTAGCATTATATTTCCCCGCAGATTTAGAAAGGGAAAAGAAAAATCTCAATGCTGAAGAAATGAGGCTGAAAAACAGGGATCATAGACACTCAGTTTCTCTGGTGAAATGAGGTGGAAAGACTGTTTCAAAATAGAAAGGCCAGTTACACATACAAAGGCAGTATTTATTGGGATCTACAGTTCATCTAAAGCTTTCAGCTCTCCTATCTAACATTAAAAAAAGGAAAAAATATATTGCCAGAGCAGTCAAAACATTTTTTGAGTGGAAGATTCAGATACAGAACAAACTGACAAAATAATATCCTTGTTGGAGGATTAAATGAGACAGTTGAAGCAGTAGCAACTAAGGTGGGGGGCAAGCAAAAGGAAGGAGGGAAAAAGGAGTCTTTCCCAAAGAAATTATGACTTTAAATACCACTGGACTACTGACATCAGCCGTCCTGCCACTTACATACTACACAGATCTCACTTCGCTTAGGTGATAACAGACACAAGAGTATTTCATCTAAGCAAATAAGAAAATCCAGGAATTTCACGTGCAAAGGATTAATTATTTTTCCACATATTTGGGGACATCTTCCATCCTACCTTTCTTGCTCCCTCTCCTCCTCCTCCTCCACCTCAGAGTGCTGGAATTAATGTAATAGTGCACTTTGCTTTAAAAGTCAGCCATAGTTCAATAGCCATATGCTATTTCATGTGAGAAAAAAAGCTGTGATTTAATCTCATTTTCACTAGCTAGATTCTTAGCTAATTGTATCGGGTCTGGCTGAGCTGTTTTTCCCATAGCAGCCCTCCTGGTGCAGAGCTTTAGTGTAGGGAGTCAGAAGGGCGTTGATAACACCCGTGTTGTGGTCACCACTGAGCAGTGCTGGCTCAGCACCAAGGCTCTTCTGAACATTCTTCCCCCGCTCCCCACTGTGGGATGGGAGGGGGGCAGAAGCTTGGGGGGAACATAACCAGGACAGCTGACCTGAACTGACCAAAAGGATATTCTGTACCACATGACATCAGCACAACTATAAAGCTGGTACAAAGGAAGGGGGAGGGGGTGGACGTGTGATACTCCTTGGTCCTCCAGAGCAACTGCTACATGTTTTGGAGCCCTGCTTCCCAGAAAGGAGCCAAACATTGCCTGGGGATGGGCGATGGGAATGAGGGAATAAGTCTTTGGTGGTTTTGCCTTTGCTTCTGCGCGCGGCATTGCTTGGCTTTGGTTTTCATTAAACTGCCTTTGTTTTTACCCACAAGGGTTTTGTTTCCATCTTATATTATCCTTCCCCATTTTGCTCTGCAGAGGAGGGAGAGGAAAAGGGGGAGGTTGATAGAGTGGCTTGGTGGGCACCTGGTGCTCAGCCAGGGTTGATCCACCACAATAATGTATCTGGGCACAGTTAAGCATGCATTCACTGTAAGACATCTGCAATAGATACTGTTTGGCCCTCTGTATTTCCACAGAGCATAGGTGAAAAAGTAGCTGGGTTTCTTGCAGCTGCTGTGCATGCAACAGTGGTAAATCTCTATATACTCACAGATGTAGAAATATTCCCGGCCTGGCCTGAACTCAAATCCTAGTGAGAAAGGCGTGAACAGCTGGAACTTTTCTGAGAACTTCAATGGTCCATTTGGGGAATGTGGCCGATTACACTCCCACCTCTTGAACCCTTTGGAGGTGTGATCACAGGAGCTGTAGCCATCAAAGTTCACCATGTACAGAACATAGCGTTCGGTCTTATCTTCTGGCACTGAGTCTTCATAGTGAGGGCAGAACACATCCAGGTAGTCATTGATGCAGACATCAATGTGGTAGTCACCCTGCTGGAACCTGAAATCACAGGAAGAGTCCAGACATCAGCACAGTTAACTCAGGATGATTTTGTTGTAGGGTAACGTTCTCATAAAAGCAACATCACTAATGGCACTTCATTTCACTCCAGCCATGCACATTCATTCTCGAAAATAACCCTTACAATTCACCAGAGCTATCAGAGACTGCTTAGGCAGGACTACGATCATGCAACCTTCTGGGTAAAGGTCTTGCTCTCTTCTCTTACAAACATGAGTCTGTTCCTGATACACACCAAGTTATAGGCTACCTTTCCCTATGGCCTATTGAATAAACAAAAAACCACATCTGCTTTATTTGGTTGTGGCTTGTTTGTTTGCTTATTTTTTAATTGGAGGAAGAAGCAAGAAGCAGCAAAGAAACCAAAACTTTATTAGCCTCCCCAAATCAGTATCTATGTAAAAAACTACATATGTAAACAAATCACTAACCTAAACATATCGTCTTCTCTCAATCAGGCAGTAATCACCCCTGTACTGAAAGATGATTTGACTGCAAGCACTTAAGAGTTACTACCAGAACACAAACAGGATTACTCTTGCTTCACGGTAACAGCAGTTTGTCAAGATGCAAAGAAAGGCCTGTATTATTTTTTAAAGATATATAAAAAGCAGTGCATCTCCTTTGCCAAAAGTACACAGTGGAGACATTGCTCTGCTCCGATAAAAGGATTGTGGGATATGAATTATCAGCACTCAGCCTAATGTGACAGTACTGAATGAGTGCCAGCTAAGAATTGCAGTGCAAGGCACCCACCCAGATGCACTTTATTATTCCTATTATTATTACTGAGGGCTCCTCAGAGACATGGCATTCTTGTCTTGTTGGGAGTGGGGAGGGTATTTCTTTTTTCTCTCCTCCACATTTCACTTACACTACTTCTCTAATGCATACCATAGTATCTGGAAGAAACCATGGGAACAAATTCACTGTCTCCACTGGAGCTTCTAGCATGATGGATTTAATGATAAACCAGGTCTGTATGTCTGTCAAAATCCCTGGGGCAGCCAAAGAAACCAACCACTGACCTACTCCACTTCAGGCTGACTGGGCTACTTGTAGCTTCTCTCACTCATGGCTGCAGTTGTCAAGTGTACCACAGAGCAATAAAAAGGCCATGACAGATTTAACTATAATACTTATTTCTAGCTGAGGGGCATATTTAAACACCTGATAGGCTTGAAATCTGCCATCTGGATCCTTCTATCTAATTTCAAAGAAAAAGTAATGATCCGCTGGCCCTCCAAGGATAAATTCAGAGCAAACTACATCTTTTCATATCCCTACAATAATTTAACTTCAATAAAATAGCTTTTTAAAGGGGAAAAACTGAACATGTATCAAAGCATGATATATCTGTATAATTTCAGCCAGTGCACAGCCTCATGGTTCCATTCTGTAGCATGGAAAAGCCTCTCTGAACCGAAGTTCTTCCAGAAGGAGTTGCATTTATTGAAATCATTACTTAAAAATACATTTTTGTACTCCAGTGCTTTCAAAAGCTGTCACCTGAACAGATACTATCTTAACATTTGCAAAAATCCATTGTTTCCAATTTGGTGTGTGTTTTCTATATCAGTTAACAGTACACCACTTCTTACAGGTAATGAAAAATAGTATTTTCTAAGTTATGAACAGGAAAGCCACATTCTGGCAATGATATTTCTACTTGCATTTTTTCTTTTTTATATTACAGTTTTAGAAAGTAAAAATTTA